TCGTGCATCGATCCAGGTCCCGATCGTCGTTTGAGTCACGTTTTGTGTGGTCACGATTTATTCTGCCCGTGACAATATAAATATGCTCCGAGCAGAGTTTCAACGGGTTTTAAGCACAAGCTAACCGGTTGGAGCAGGATAACATCCCTAGTTGAAAACCTAGTGTGAAAGCCTTTGTATACTTGTATATATTTAGTTCTATATCAGCTAATAAAATCGGCAGAACTTGTTAAAATAATAATAATAATAATAATATATATCTAGAATTTTTATATTATTCCCGTGCATTATTGCACGGGTTCTCAGCTAGTTCTTTTATAAAATTTATTTTATCTAATAAAATATATCAACTTATTACATTAGCTCCAACTGGATCTGGTATTTGAACTTGCAATGATCAAATAATAATGATCATGCAAGGATGGTGTATATGCACCAGCTAAGGTACCTATTAATTGCATGAAATTTAATATTTCCACCATTTGTAAATGTTAGGCAACTTGCTCAGAACGGGCACAGGATTGGTCTCGCAAATTTCGGTATATTGGAATCACATGTATATGACATCTGGATTTCTATATATTAAGTGAATATAATATTTATTTATAAATGGTTTTATTTTAGGTGGGAGTTGACCGGAGATACGAACACGGCAAATATTGCCGATATTAAAATTAAAAAAATTTTTTTATTGCTTTAATTTTTTTTTTTTATTAACGAACGCGTAAATTATTTTAATGAAATCATAAAGTGTTACACCGCCTGAAAAATGGGAATCAGTAACGCGTCAATGGTAACAGAAGTATTTTTTATTTAATACTCAATTATTCCTGTTCTTTACTAATGAAATTATTATCAGGCCGCTACGCGGCACATTTCAGCCAATCATTTGTTCTGACTATCATCGCATGATCCAATATCGATGTTATCGTGCAGTTATCATCATGTTTTACAAGTCATTATTGGCTAACTAAGTTTTAATTTGAGATTGTTGTACTAGAAAAAAAAAATCTATGATTATAAGAGTGTAAACTAATAAATTTCCTAAAAAAATATTAATTTATAAGTTTTTATATTCGAGCATTTTAAATTTATTAAATAAAATTAATTAATAAAAATAATATTTTTTTGTTCATATAAAAAATAATTGTAAAACTAAAATATCACGTTACTTATGTTCGAAGTTTGATCCTATCAAATCACTAACAAAAAGCTTTGAGTATAAATGATATCATCAAAGATTGATTATATTTTTGATTCAAATCTATAAAGAATTAGTAATATGAATAACGAGTAAGATCTTATGTGATCAATCGATCAGAAAAATAAGGCATTGTGCTTTTCTTTTCCCTCAGTTGATAAACGTATTTTTCCTTTCTCAAAAAATTTATATTCTGCATCAGCATATTGAATATTTTTATTTTTACTGCAGCGTTTGTATTTTCAATAAGGTTAGTTACACAAAGGAGCAATATTTGTTTCTTGCTAAAAAATTTCCTGCAGGGATATCGGAAATATTTCAACTTTATTTTGCATTTGGCATTTGATATTAAACGCATTCGATAAGTTATCTATCGGATATAAATTACAAATTTCAAAGCAGTTAACATACTGTATTTATGATTAAATAATTTTTAGTTAGAAGAAATGCTGTTTGAACATTACAGTTCAGGAGACGATCACAATCATTTGGCAAATAAGGAAAACGAAAATTCGGATTTTCCAACTTCTCACGTGAAATGTCAACAATCCGACGAAGACGAAATCCCCAACCTTTATTGCACCAATCATGAGAGTAGTGCAGTCATACAAAGTTTTTCTTGTGCCAGACCTGAAGAAACTAATCATCAAGAAGTGGAAGAAACCCAACTTCATTATATTTTAAACGATGATCAATCTAAGTCCCAAAAATCCTGTGAAAGCTTTGGCACCAATTCTCCACAAAATTGCCGGTCTTTTGAACAGGATTACTCTTCCGTTCCTTCGTTTATGGAGCCCTCACGTCATCATTTTCAATCTATGATGTGTTGTAACGATCCTTGTTGCAAGGAGGCATGCGAGTATACAAATTCATCATCCATTGGAACCGAGATCATGCAGTTTTCTTGGAATGTAGATGATCCTCAGTTCTCTAGTTCTCTCATGCCATTCCCATCATCCTCAGATGAAGACGTAACGGTCCCAGTTTATCGGTGGAATGGCCATATTGTTAGTTTGCCCAATCATTCCTTGCAGTTACCAACATCTTTGCATCAAATATCCTCACCAAATTTATTCACTCAAACACAATCTAATAAGAGGACTATGCAAGAAGATTTGTTTTCTGATCTCTCGTTAAATGAGCTTAACAAGCCGTATGCCCTGCCTACGATTTCTAATGTTCATCAACAAACCAACTCATTTCGCAAACGTGCTAAAGCTGTGCTAAACAATCAAATTCCAAATATTACACCCAGTAACTCTCCTGTCATGCTGTTGTCTTTGGAGTCTACGGTTGAATATGAACAAGATACTTTCAAACAATTTCAAGCAAAATATGAAGCTTATAAATTTCAACCAAGAATTGACTTGAATGATATTGTTCCTGAGACACCTGAGCCACCTGTAGACCTTAATGATCCAAGACCTGATGCACAACCTCGTAGGCAAAAACTGAAGTATCCAGGTGACATGTACACGCCACAGTGGGTAAGGTACTCCGGTCATTCCAAGGAAGGATTTTGTAATGATTGTAAACCAGGAAAATGGCTACAACTGAAAAACAGCGCATATTGGTTAGTATGCAATACGTACGTTCTAATGATTATTCATTGAAACTAATTATCTCTATACATCTTTAAAAGGTATCATAAACAATTCTTTCATGGAATCTCTTCCGTATCTGGCAAAATGTTTGTTCCGCCTGTCGAAACGCGTAAATTCGATTCTGGTGATTGTACTGAAGGTCTGTGTCATCAATGTGGTCAATGGGTTCCAATTGCAACGAGCAAGAAAAAAAATTCCATGCTTTGGTTTCGTCATGCACATAAATGTCATGTTTATGTCAAGCCTAAAAGCTACCCACCTGGTGGTAAAAGGCGATAGGGCAATTATTATTTTATCATAATTACTTTCGTAAGGTGTGCAAATATATAGACTACTTTTTGTAATAAAACTCTGAACCTTTTGCCAGTCTATTCTTTTCTCATGCTTAAATTTTTTTAGTTATATTTATTATATACTTGTAAACATAATTCAAATTATTTAGTATAAAAAAATATATTGTTTTTTCAGTGATTATATAAATATTTTTAGCAGAATATTCAAAGTATTTTGACTTATTCTAATATATAAAAATAATAGTTTGCTTATTATATTTTATAGATCTTATTAATTACAATTTTCAATTACTAGATTATAAGATATTATAAATTTTTGCTAAAATTTTTATAATTATAAATTTTTTTGCAGATTTAATATTGCATTGATAATTTATATTATTTTTTTCTTTGTTTTTTTTTTTGAATATTACGCCATGGCATGTAAATTTTTTATTGATTATAACTAAGAACTGTGAGTCTGGAACGCCAAATTTTTAAATTAAAATTTAAACAATAAATTTTTTAAATAATATTTATTAACATTAATGTATAAAATTAAATGTAAAACTTAATTTAATTTATACGGTACTTTATTTTATTATTTATTTATTTAATTTATTTATTTAAATTAATACTGTATATGTTATTTAATATTATAATTAGCATTTTATTTTTTTTATTTTTTATATACTATAATATGTATTAACTTTAATAATAACCAAAGCTGAACTTCGTTTATCTAAAGCATAATTAAACCCTATTACCAACTAAACCCGATCTTCTATAACTAAGCATAATACATCACATACTATCGTTGACCTATAGTTGTTAGACGAAACCTCGAGGTTTCGCGCGAAACCTAGTTTCGTTTTTCGTCAATTAAAATTTTAAATGACGAAATGACGAAACTGACGAAACTGTAAAAGGCGACAAAACTAATAAAAGACGAATATACAAATAAATGTTGAAAATCATTGAAGATTATGTATATAAAAAAGTAAAATTTATAAAAATTACAAAAAATTTTATTGTACTGTATAATAGGCACTTGAATCGTTTAAAGGGAGTTAATGAGAAATTGCTTGGTGCTTACTTACTTTGCGATCTTACAAATTTATTTTGTGCTAGTATGTTTTATGTGTTATTCCATGAGTACTATGGCTTTTTGACAAGGTTATTTCAACCAATCTATAACAACCCTAGAAATGACCAGAAAAAATAAACTGGTTTATTTTGCTGGCATACGGTAATTTTTCGGATACTGATCTTTGTGAATGTTAATTCACTGAAAATAACATTTGTTTTCTTTTTATGCTTTTTTTTTTTTTTTTTAGCAGGAGCACTAGAGTATCGACTTTTTGAGCGTAAGATTTCGTCATTTTAAGTTTAAGGTTTCGTCATTCGTCATTTTTAAAATTGAATAGTACCCGTGGATACTGTGTAGGAACCGGGTACTATATTTGGGAAATATTATATTAAAAGTAGTAAATCAATATTGTTATACCCGGGTCTTATTTAAGAAACAGGATGATAGGAGGTATTATTTTTGGGGGATACTGTATACAGTGGTCGACGGCACTATTCCTCGCATTAATCATATATTCAGATGGTAACAGTAAGTATAAATTAAGAAGAAATTGATTAGCAAACAAGTTCACAATCCAGAAATAAATACTTACTAATCATTACATAATACCCTTCAAGTCATTCATTTGAAGTAATCCTTGCAAACATAAAGGCCATTAATCGATGGAATTAAAATCAGCAAAACAAGTTCAAAGTTATTAATCGATGGAATTAAAGAGCAAAACAAGTTCGCAATTGAGAACATAAGTACTTACCATCCATTACAAGATACCTTTCAAGTCATCCATTCGTGTTAATAATTTTGTTAGTATGCATATGAAAAGGGCATTAATAAATAGAGGTAAAATCAGCAAAACAATTCGAAAAACAATAACATAAATACTTATTGTCCATTACATAATACCCTTTAGCTATTCATTCTATAAAGTCCATTAATCGGTGGAATCGAGTCAGCAAAACAACTTTGCAAATTGAGAACATAAATATTTACTAACCGTTACATAATACCCCTCAAGTCATCCATTTGCGCAATAACCACTAATCTATGAAAGTAAAATCAACAAAACGAGGTTGTAAAACAATAAACATGGATACTTACTCTCCATAACATAATATAATAATCTTCAGTTATTAATTCCATAAGTTCACTAATCGGCAAAATCAAATCAGCAAAACAACTTAGCAAACTGAGAACGTAAATACTTACCAACCATTACATAACACTCTTCAAGCCATCAGATGATTTTAAAACTCTTCACCAATCACCCGATGTTATCTAATCTGTCAAAAGGAATCCATTGTCATATTTTGTAGTTTTAAGTTGAAGTCCCTTGATGTAATTATAGATATTCTCGTTTGTCCCTTGATGTAATTATCGATATTCTCATTTCTATTTGTCCATCTCCAGGCTTCTTAAACGTTACATTTTTTATGTGCACATATACCATGCATATGATACAAAATGATAAAATGAAACGAAAAAAAGATTTAGATAAAAAAGATACGATTGATAATGAAGTAGGAAAATATCGCAAAAAGGTTAATTCAAATCGATGACGGAGCTTGAAAATAGAATCAAGGCGTTGGAAACGATGGAATTTATGGAATTTATAGAAAAATGTAAACGATAAAGTTAATAATTTACCTAATACTGTATAACCAAACGTGATAAAAAAAAATCGATAATTAACAAAATCTTGAAATTATGCGTGCGTGAGATGAATATACTTCGTAATAGGTATACTTCAATAGTAGGTTAAATAATAGTTCATTTAATGTTACTTTTATATTCAACGAAATAACCGACTTTATACTACTAGTTATATTTTTTTTATTTTCACTTAATAAGTCAATATAAAAATCGCAAACAACTTTAATCGTAGTTATAAATAATTTTTAAATAATAATAATAAATTTATTTTATAAAATAATAAAATACATCAAAATTTAATAACTATATAATTAATATCTATAAACTTCAATATGATTAGATTTCTTCAGTAGGAAAGTGGGGATCCGGAGAAGTAGGGGAACCTAAATTAAAAAAAAAAAACAGTAAATTAAAAAAAATAATAATAAAAAAGAATTGACAAAAAAAAAAATATATAAATTAAAAAAACAATCGTTGTCCTTTCAGTAAAGTACCTTCATGTGCCGGGTAGGTGTCGATAAGCGATTAAATTTTTTCAGTCGATAAACCTTCAACCCAGTAAAAAAAAAGAAGTAGTGTTAGTAATTGAAAAGACCTTGTGTACTCTGGATACAGTATGTCAACACGCGATAGTAGGAGACGATTCCCAAAGAATATAAAAACATTCTTGTCCTCTTTCGTTGAGCGACCACGATGTTACCATCGTCGAACTGTCTAGGTTGTGTTAATGAGATCAACTACTGAACTCTACTTATCTGTTAAACCGGCATCATAACAAGTAAGCGGCGAACTGGTACCCTTTTATTCTTGGCGGGAGGAGGGGGTACGCGCAATGGTATTGATTGTGTTAATGTAGGCAATGCATTGCAGCTTGAAGGATTGATTGTGTTAAAGTAGGCAATGCATTGCAGCTTGAAGGCGTCTATTATATATTTGTTGTTTGACATTTTTTTTTTTAAAATACGTCGAAAATGCGACGAAGAGATATTGACGAGAATATTGGTGAAACTTACTTCAGTGAACTCTGTTATATCGTCTTGAATCAACATTAGTTTTAGGGAGGTGTAAAATTTTGATTTCGCGAATTAACTTGGCTTATAAGGTTTGAAGATACGGCAAAAAACCGTCGAAAAAATGTCGAAAAATTATCGAAGCGACAATAAACAAATGTATATTTAAAAATATAAAATATGTGAAAAAAAAAGATCGCAAATTTAGAATTAACAAACAAACAAACAAACACAAAAATTTAAATTATGTATAAAAAAAAAGTATGAACGAGGCTAAGCTAATGCACATGACAATTATCATATAACACATCTTCCCCAGCATCTCCACCAATTTTTTTCGATCACGTGATCGTACAAAAATCGTTAAGTTCGTTTAGATTAGGGTTAGGGTCTGTGCTAAGGTTAGGGTTTATGTGTTTTTAATAGCAAAATCGCTCAAGAAAAACTTTTTGTTAATGCACAGAAGGTGATTTCTTATGTAAATTTTTGAGTTAGAGGAGAATTTTTGAAAACGAACGTTTGTTTCGGATCTTCCTGATTGTGTTACGTTACACCAAGGCGTGATTTATTATTGGATAGTTTCACGTGATCGAAAAAATTTTATTAGTATTTTGGTGGCGATCCAGGGGAAGTTCATATAACACAAACGCGTAAGCATGCATATTTTTTGAATTACAAATTTAAACACGCGTGCGTGATGTATCAAGATCGTAACTTTTGTATCACAATGACTAAACACTAAATGTCCTCCGCTACGCTCCGGACAATAGAAATTGAAATAGAAATAGAAAAAATGTGTAAAAATATGTAAAATGTATAAGTGAAATCGTTACTATTACGTGTTCATCCCTTTTTTTTTTTTATTTTTTTCACTTAATGAGATCATGTTCCTGGGAAAATTCTCTAATTTGCAACGCGTTCATCCCTTTTTGATGAGATTTCCTGGGAAGATTCACTAATTTGCACGCGTTCACCCTTTTTTTCATCTTTTTAATTTGTAACTTGAATCGGTTGGGCTATAATCGGTTACAGCTATTATCATAATTCCTGAAACACCTGATAAAAATTAGCCAAATGATTTTTCGGCCGATTCGGTTAAGTTATAGATTTCGGGAATAATAAGATTCAGTAACAGA